GCGTGTCTCGAACACGCGGGCTCAGGCAATCCACTCACCTCAGCCTCCCAAAGGCGCGGGATTACAGGCTGAGCCACCGAGCCCGGCAATACAATAAATTTTTTAAAAAAATTAACCAGGCGTAGTGACACATGCCTACAGTTCCAGCTACTTAGAAGACTGAGGCAGAAGGATCTCCTGAGCCCAGCAGACTGAGGCTTTGGTGGTCGTGGGTGTGCCACTGCACTCCAGCCTGGGTGACAGAGTGAGACTCCGACTCAAACAAAAAAGTCTTCTTTTCCAACATACACGCTTTAGAAAACATGTGACTTCTTTCTCTACCTCTCTAAAATATATATTTAATAAATATATATTTAATATATTAAAAACTAAATAAGCACTATAGGAAGTTTCTTCAAGGGCCTGGGGCCATCACTTTGACACATAATCATAGAAGAAGACAGCTCCTTCCTCTCCTTGTTTCTGGAAAGGAGCCTAACTCCAGCTAGTGCCTGGCTGCAAATGCAAACCTGTCATAAATATACAAGAAATTTTTTTTTTCTTTTAAAGGCAGTCGACAAACACAGGCAGCTACCCCAACTACAAAGTGGTTTTAAGATGAGCTATGTAGCAAACGGTGCTATCAAGTTCACTTGAGAACTAGATGCTGTTTAACTTGAGAATGTATATGTAATAGACTGTATCCAGTTAACCATATAAAAGAGTAAGATTTTCTTCTGTCTTTGCAATCTCATTAGCTTGTGATGTGCAGCACATTTCAGTTTAATGTTTATTCCATCTTTTTTTTTCTTTCCTACTTCCATAAAGAGGTTTTCTGGGATGGCAGAAGATTTTGTATTTCATTATGTTTCTGCAACAACTACTCTTGCAATTCTTAGCCAATGTTCTTATTTCTAGCAAATATATTTCTATTGTTCTTAAGAAAATAGTATACAAAAATAAAATATTCAGTCAAAATAATAGTTTATATGTAGTTTGAGGGAGAGGCACTCAACATTTAAGAGATTATAAAATTATAAATTTGCACACAGATGTTTAGTTTAAGAGGAAAGTAAGTGCTTAAATGAGGTATAGCTCATCTATGGTATTGCCTTACTAGGTAACCCTAACCATTATGCTTCCACTCTTCTCCACATGGAAGCTCTCCCCTTTATGTCTCCTCTTTCCCTCTACTCACTCCTCTTCACTACACATTCTTCCTCCTGTCCTTTTTATTCTTTCTTATCGTCTTTCTTCAGCGTTGCATAGTTTCAGAACTGGTCCTTAATATGTTCATATCTTAGTTTCATGACAAAGGAAGTAAAAATACATTTTCATAGAAGGAAGCAAATGTATTTTCATAGAAGGAAGCAAAGCAGTTTTCAGTCATGGGAAAGTATGGACTTTCGAGGAAACCCATCTGAGCTCTCCCATTTGCAATCAGAATGACATTGGACAGTGCCTCTCTTGCCCCCTTCAGGCAAGAGGTGTTCCTATTTTGACGGATGCAAGTCTCACTCTGGCTTTCCTTGTGTCATGGTGCTCAACAGAGAGGCCAGGGATCAACAAGCCATTCCTACCCGGAGACTGTGCCATCTCCTCCCTTTCTGAACCATATTCTAAGTCCTCAGGACGGCAACCCAGGCCTGCTATCCGAGCCTACATGAGTATCTTTCTCAAGGCCTTCTTCCTCAGGTGAGACTACTTTGCCAAAGATAAACCTCTAGGTCTGAGGGATTGCCAGGGGTTACCCAGTGTACTGAAGGAGATGGACTGAGAAAGGTAAGCTGGGGTATCCCTCCAAGTATGACACAAAAGCAGAGACAGGAGCAGAGGTCTAGGGACCTTGACAAGAGCACGGTCAACTCTGTTCTTGCAGTGAATTCCAATGAATCTGAAAATTCTGCATTGGAGCCAGGTCTTCCATACTGTATTCATTCATTCATTCATTCATTCATCCATCCATCCATTCATCATTCAAGTACTTCCATGAATGTATTTTTGTCAAGGGAGAAAAAAACACTTTTTATGTATTATTTTGTTCTTTTTATTTATGTCATTTAATTATGAATACACCCACATTTATACTCTGGACTCTGTGCCCCTGGCCTATCCTTGGACAAATAATTTAATACTTCCAAAACAAAGTTTCCTACCTACTGAACAGGTACTACATAATAAAAGAGGATAAAATAATATTTACTTCATAATCGAATGATTAATTAAATGAGAGCATTTAATGAGATGAGAGCAACTAGCATAGTGTCTTACACATAGCAAATATTTAATTGGGATGGTTTTTTAAAATATATTTGATTTTTCTCAGCAAACTTGTTGCATCAAACGCACTTAGATTCCTTTCATTTCATTTACTTAACTCATGATGTATTCACTATCATGAGTCATGATCATGATGTACTCATCATACCTCTTCTGAGTTCAACTCCAGAGATATATTAGATCTGTCATTTAATTAGACCAATATTTGCTCTGAATTTCTTCATTCTGATGTTGAGATGAATAGAACTGATATTCTAGGCATGTAGTGTGCCATGTTTGTCTTTATTAACTCTCTTACCCTTTTAGTTTTTATTACATAAAACTTGCTCAGCAATATTTGCTATTGAAGTTACTAGGAGTCACTTTGTTTTCCATATGTACCACATATGCATAACAGTACTTCCTCCGCATAACAGTACTTCCTCCTGCCTTATCTCTTTAATAGTCTCAGTTCTGTGAGATAGATACTTTTCTTCTTCACCTTGTGGATGAGGAAATAGATATTTAGAAGAGTTTGAATAACTTTTCCAAGATTACCTGGTTAGTAAAATCTGCCCCCAAAATTATTTTTATCTTGCGATGTACACTGTCTTCATCTTGTCTAAAGATACTTATACTATGCTTATACTTTATACTATACTTATACTTTATGTTATGCCTATATTATGTATGAAGATAAACATGAAATATTTTCATCTTACTTTATAACTCAAAGATAAATAAAATGCGTTTGTCTTTTTCATGGTAAGGTCATATTACCTTTGCATACATTTTACACAATTATTAATAGTTAGAAGGGTTTGTTTATACTTTAAACCGTAGAACGGAATAGAAAAGAAAAATTAAAGTAATTCTGCTTATTCATCCCTAACTCATGGAGTGAAATTGCTGATCAGAGAGGTGAACATGACTGAACTGTGTGGATGGAAAGATCTTAAAAGTAATGAGAACAAGCAAGTTATGTTATCTCAAGTCAAAAATATGTTGTAAAAGTCAATGGAATCAAAAAATGTGAAGTCTTATAATGACCTGTGGATCTTTTTCGCAAATGTGTGAGTCTCAATCTCATTTAAGAATGAAGAGTTTGGGAAATAACAGTACCCTGAAATTTGTCCAATTTTATTTTAGGTGGTTGGGTGGTTGGTAGGAGTTTTTTTGCTTGGCCTTTTTATTCAACCTGTGTAGCTTTAGCTTTGGAGACCCCCAAATCTCCCCCAAAAAATACCCAGACCTGGAAGTTCACCCCTGAGAGAGACAAATAAATTCAATTCTCAGAATTTCAAAGGACTTCCAGAGAACTAGAGAATTCCAAGTGTTTCTTTGCCTCATTCTGATTTCAGGGCTTCTAAGAGAATGCTGAAGATGCATACGCCTCCATTTATTCAATGTAGGAAACAGATTTTGTATACTTGGAAGCAGAGAAACTCTTACTATGTCACTGTGATGAGACTTAATATGTCTTGTCCATAGTTATGAACAGATAACTTTGCTGTGCTCATGAGACAACTGTGCTACTGCTTAATCTCAGTTTGTTTTATCACAAAGAAAACATTTTTCAATTACATTTTATTGTATTTAGGTGGTAGAACGAGATGGGAATCTCAAATACCCTGTAAGAAAAACTCATGAAAGTAACGGGCTATTTTGATTGCTGTGTACATTAAATCAGAATGAAATGACATCTATATAGATATTAGCAAAACTCTTATATTTGGATTTAAGTAAAAATTCATAAAAGCTGTCTTGATTATTTGCTGTGGCTTATTTTTCATTTTGGTGAGTAGAAACATTTTTTTAAATAGATAATATTCAATCACCTGAAGAAATCCAGTAACACTGTTGGGACCAGTATTGATTTTAGTTAAAATAGATCACTAAGAAATTAATCTTGGAATAAAACACAAAAGCATATTCTGCCAATAAAAATACAGGAAAGCAAAACTTTAAATCTACATTTGCATTTTTTCTTATGAGTTTAGGAACTTTTAGAAAAAGTAGCCGGGCTCGGTGGCTCAACCTGTAATCCCGTGCCTTTGGGAGGCTGAGGTGAGTGGATTGCCTGAGCCCACGGGTTCTAGACCCGCCTGGGCAACTTGGTGAGACCTCATCTCTACAATAAATCAAAAATTAGCCGAGCGTGGTAGCGCGCACCTGTAGTTCCAGCTACTTGGAAAGCTGAGGCGGAAGGATCGCCGGAGCCCAGCAGGTCGAGGCTGCGGTGGCCGGGAGCGGCCACTGCCCTCCAGCCTGGGTGACAGAGTGAGTCTTCAACTCAAAAAAAAAGAAAAGAAAAAAGAAAAAGAAAATAACCAGCACAATTTTCCACTTCAAATTTCACCTCTTTATAAATACTGGTTAAATATCAAAATGTCCAGCCCAGATTATACAAAAACACATCAAAGTATGCTTGCTTATAATATTCAATGATATTACAGCTTTAACCTTTTAAGGATTTTCCAGGGACAATATGCCCTCTCTTCAAAGTAAAGCACCACCACTATTCTGCTTCTTTGAAGTGTAAACAGTATAAGACAATAGAATAAAGTAATTTACTTGAGCTGCTCTCTGCTATTTTACCATCTGAGGAAGAAAAGAATTGCTATCATTAGCAACATCTTTAAATAATAGAATTGCCAATAGAAAGTGAATCTTGATTAGGGTCATTTCTTGTCTTTGAAAGATATTTCCAAAGGGTTCTGCTCATTGACTTAAATACTCAGGTATGAATGTAATAATTAGCCATTGACCATTGTGTAATTATACTCCTTCAGAACACCTCCATAAAGGAAAAAGGCTGGGCTAATCTTCCAACCACTCTGGAGCACAGTATAATTGCATAAATTAGAATGCAGCAAAATGCAGTAAATCTTGGTTGACTGAAAAGATGATTCAAAGCATTAATTACTATTCTATTGGTAAAATGCAGAAGTTCTAGTTAAAAGATATTTTTCATGTGATTAAAAAATACAGAATAAACTAGATTTAATAAAATAGCTACAATTTCTATTTTACAGCTAGATATCAAAATTCATGTACCCACAACTTACAAATTATTTGAATGTTATGATTGCAATCAAGGTAAATTTTCTTCATATTTAAATAAATGACACTAAATTTGCAAACTGTCAAGCTATTGAAAGTATAACTGGGTCAAAAACTCACAATAAGAATAAGTAGTTTATAACAAATTTAAAAACAAGTATTCTTATTAAGTTAGATTTACAGATATAAAAATATTTTTATCAAACACATCAAGAAATTAGTTCCTAAAATAATTTTCTCCACAATTATATAAAATAAAATACTAAACAATAACAACAGAATTTTGCCATAAAGTTGCATGTTGATTACATATTCAAGAAACCTCAAAGACGTTTTAGTAACATTTTTATTTGAGGACTTATAGCATGGCAGTTTGTTTTTAACATTCCTCTATGCTCTATAATCTTCACAAATTTTCTAAACTCAAAATGACCACATTATGCAAATAAAAAGACAAGGCACATGGTCTGGTACTAACATAAAATTTTAGAAATTAGAACTAAAATTCAATTCAGAAAAATCCAGAACTTATTGTCAACCAACTTATCCCAGAAATAGAAGGCCCAGCAAACTGAGCCAGTTAAATGATAAAAGGTTTCCCATGTGTTCTGATAAATTGTTGTCAAAACGAAATTGTATGTACTTGCATAAACTTGCACAAACAAATGCATACACACATATTTAGCCAAAGGCTAAGAAGAAATGGTTTATAGATATAGTTTGGAGACACTTAATATAGAAGTGTCTGAAGAAAAATTGCACAGTAATACCCTCCTTGTTGGTTAAATACCTGATAAATTTTAACTATCACAAATGTAGGTGAGAGTCAAGAAGTTGTCCCCAAATCCCCTTGCAGCAAATAGAGGCATCACCAAACCCATGCAAGAACTCTTGATTATTCACTTTATCTAACAGGAAAAGTTTCTCAGGGGCTTACTCTGAGTGCACATTCATACCACAGGTACAAGGCTAATGAGCTTGGATCGATAATGTTTTTGTCCCAGTAGGCTGAAAATGACAAGTAAGCATTGGAACTGAGTGCTAAAAGTAGACATAACGATCCTATTAAGATATAGGGCTAGATGTTGAACAGAAGTGAGGAAACAGAAAAGCAAATCAAAGCAGACACAGAAACTCAGAAATCATCTCCAGTGTAGGAAAAAACTGTCTTGCACAAGTCAATAGATTCAAGGGCATTTAGGTATGGTACTTAATCCAATAGTGGACATAAGTTTTCATATCTTCAAAAAAACATTAAACTATGTTCACAAGCCCCTTGTTCTCCTGGATAAGAAGTAGGGTATCTGTGATTTATTTCGGATAGTTTACTTGCAAAACATTTGGTTATTTTCATGTAGAAAATTCGTGTATGCAAAATAAAACATATAGTCATAATCCTAAATAATTTTATTAATTTAAAACAATATTTGTGCTATTTTTTTTGAATCAGGGTCTCACTCTGTCACCACAGCCTCAATCTCCTGAGCTCAGGCAACCCTCCCACCTCAGCCTTTCAAGTAGCAGGGGCCTGCCACCATACCATGCAAATTTTTTATAGAGATGAGGTCTCATTATATTGCCTAGGTTGGTCTCGAACTCCTGAGCTCAAGCAATCTTCCTGCCTTGGCAATTTAAAATAAATATATACTGAGTACATGCTCCATAGCAGCCACTGTTCTTGACATTGTAAATTCAGAGTGAACAGCGTAGATCAAAGCCCTGTCCTTGAGGAGTCAGAATCCTGTGGGGTAATGAGGAGTTGTGGTAGCTCATTTACAAAACAAAGCCAGCATGTAACACATTAATATTTTTTGGTACCAAAATCAGACTCACAATGCACTGTGATGTCTTAAAGTGGGAGGCTGAGGTGAGTGGATTGCCTGAGCCTGCGGGTTCGAGACCCGCCTGGGCAACTTGGCGAGACTTCATCTCTACAATAAATCAAAAAAAATTAGCTGGGCATGGTAGCGCGCACCTGTAGTTCCAGCTACTTGGAAGGCTGAGGCGAAAGGATCACCGGAGCCCGGCAGGTCGAGGCTACGGTGGCTGGGAGCGGCCACCGCACTACAGTCTGAGCGACAGAGTGAGATTCCAACTCAAAAAAAAAAAAGTGAAGATTAATTCCTGATAGATACTTACCCGATTTTTGTCTGTAAAATAGGGCTTCTACATCTATTAAAAAATAAAGAAACAATAGCAATTTATTTAATAATTCCCTATGATATATTTTAAGACTATTAGAAGCAAGATTTTTTTGTATTTCCATTCTTCCCTAAAATTAAATATATGTAGTTCACTTTTTAATATCTGATAACTATTTACTATTTTAAATATTTCTTTATTCAATAAAACTCATCTACATGATTTAGGTAATACATTTACCTACCAACATACTTAATATCAGAGTTTTCTGTGTCAATTCAGTTTTGGAAATATGCATGACCAAATAAATTATATTAATACTTGCAAGTTAATATTAGCCTATATTTTATACCTTTTGCACACTATCACAATTTATGATCTAAAGTTTGTTTTCTGATCTAAATTTCACCTGCTTTTATTTCTCCTAAACATCTTCTGGGTAATGTGTTCAAAAGAAACAAATTAGACAAAAAAGAAACAAGGGGGGAAAGGAATCAATTGTATGAATTTTACTCAAATGAGAATATAGGATAGCCTAGGAAGAAAATAAAATTTGATTATATATTTCTATCTCTTGCCAGTTCTATATCTTTTAATAAACTTCTTTTTTCTACTTAATTGGAAAACTTTTTTTTTAAGTTTTTCTTTTCTCTGCATAGTCATGGTTGGTTAAACAATGCAAATATTTTTTCTAATTGATTATATGGACATGGCCTAAATATCTGTGCTCACCAACTTCCAGTCCTCAAATTTTACTGTCTTGTAGCCTACTGCAAATGAAGGGAGTCTGTGTTTGAAACATAAACCCACTGACTGAGAGCAACAAAGATTTATTTCAGCTAAGGCACCTGGAATTTCTGCAAGAAAAGTTCTCCAGGTATGTTTCTTAATTTCCACTATGGCCTCATAAATAAATACAAAAAAATTTTTAATTTTGTTAATAAATAACCAATCTATGGAAAACCTATTAAAATACTCATAATCACTTAATTAATTAATTAGCTTTCTAAAATAGCCAGGGTTATAATTAGTTTAAGAAATGTTTCTTTTGATGATAATCTAGTTTTGTAATTGGTGGGTTTTTTCCTTTATCTTTTTTCTTTCTTTCCTCCCTCCACTTTTTTGTTTTGTCTTGCTTTGTTTTTGTTTTGGGGTTTTTTTTGTTGTTGTTGTTTTTTTGAGTTGGCATCTCACCTTGTTTCCCATGCTGGAGTGCCGTGGTACAATCACAGCTCACCACAGCCTCAACTTCATGGGCTCAGGTAATCTTTCCTCCTTGCTATGTTGCCCAGTCTGCTCTCAAATTTCTGCTCAAGTGATCCTTCCTCCTTAGCCTCCCAAAGTCTTGGGATTAGAGGCATGCGTCACTGTACTCAGCTAGTGATTATTTCTTGATTTGTGAAAAACATGATTATCTGTGTTTGGTCTTTAGCCTTAATATTAATTAACAGGATTAACAGAATTATCAAAGCATAAACTGAGAAAAAAATGAGTAACAAACAATAACACCTTATATATCTTATGTCAATTGTTCAGTAATATTTCTAAGCAGTTGTAAATTTATCTATGTATATATTTACAGGATTATCTCATTTTATTGTGCTTCACTTTAGTGCACATCGCTGATACTGTGTGTTTTACAAATTGAAGGTTTGTGGCAACTCTGCATCAAGCAAGGCTATTGGTACCATTTTACCAACACATTATGTACTCACTTTGTGTCTCTATGTTACATTTTGGTAATTCTCTCAATATTTCAAACTTTTATTATTTATTTATTTAATTAATTAATATAGAAAGTAAATTAGAGAGAGAGAAATAAAAAGGAGTTTTACCTCCCCAAGATGGGGAGGAGGCCAAAGCTGGGAAGCATGGCGACAGCCATATCTCAAAGAGCACAAGGCCACACCAGAGTCTAGTAAAGTAATGGCCTATTATTCTATTATTTATTATTTATATCTGTTGTGGTAATCTGTGACTAAAGATCTTTGGTGTTACTATTGTAATTGCTTTGGGACACCACAAACAATGCTCATGTAAGATGAACTTATAAGTGTTTGTCTTCTGATTGTTTCATTAATCAATCTTTTCTTCTTCTCTCTACCTCTCTTTAGCTCTCCCTATTTCCTGAGACACAAAAATATTGAAATCAGGCCAAATAAAACCCTACAATGGATTCTAAGTGTTCAAGTGAAAGGAAGAGTCACAGATCTCTCGCTTTAAATGAAAGTCTTGAAATGATTAAGTTTAGTGAGGAAGGTATGTCAGAATTCGAGGTAGGCCAAAAGCTAGGCCTCTTGCACCAAACAGTTATCCAGGTTGTGAATGCAAAAGAAAAGTTCTTGAAGGAAATTAAAACTCCTACTAAGTGAAATAGCCTTAATACTAATATAGAGAAATTTTAAGTGATGTGGATAGGAAAAAAAATCATCTACAATATTCTGTTAATCCGAAGTCTAATCCAGAACAAGGCCCTAACTTTGTTCAATTCCATAAAGGCTGAGAGAGGTGGGGAAGCTACATAAGAAAAGTTTGAAGCTAGCAGAGGTTGATTCATGAGGTTTAAAGAAAGAAGCTGTCTCTATAACATGAAAATACAAGGTGAACCAGCAAGTGCTGATGGAGCAGCTGCAGCAAGTTATCCAGAAGATCTAGCTAAGATCACTGATAAAGGTAATTACGATCAACAGATTTTCAGTGTAGATGAAACAGCCTTCATTCAGAAGAAAACACTATCAAGGTCTTTCATAGCTAGAGAAGAGAAGTCAATGCCTGGCTTCCAAGCTCCAAAGGACAGGCTGATTCTCTTGCTATAGACTAATGCAGCTGATGACTTTAATGAAGCCAATGCTCATTTATTGTTCTGAAAATCCTAGACGCTTAAGAATTATTCTATATCTACTCTGCCTTTGCTCTATAAATGGAAAAACAAAGCCTGGATAACAGCATATCTGTTTATAGGATGAATTATTGAATACTTTAAATCCACTACTGAGACTTAATGGCTCAGAAAGAAAGATTCCTTTCAAAATACTACCACTCATTGACAATGTACCTGGTCACCCAAGAACTCTGATGGAAATCTACGTGGAGATTAATGTTGTTTTCAAGCCTGCTAATACAACATAAATTCTGTGCCCAAGGATAAAGGAGTAATGTCAACTTTCAAGTCTTATCACTGAGGAAATGCATTTACTAAGGCTATAACTGATATAGATTATGATTCCTCTCATGGATCTGGGCAAAGAGTATCAAAACCCTTCTGTAAGGGATTCGCTATTCTAGATGCCATTAAGAACATGCATGATTCATGGGAAGAGGTCAAAATATCAGCATTGAACATTGTTGGAATAATGAAAAATGACTTAGAATACCACATAAATTTAGTTGATAAAGCAGCTGCAGGGTTTAAGAGAATTGACTCCCTTTTTGAATGAAGTCCTTCTGCAAGTAAAATCCTACCACAGTATTGCATGCTACAGAGAAATATTTTGTGAAAGGAGGAGTCCATCGGTGCAGCAAAATTCATTTTGTTTTCTTATTTTTAAAAATCTCCACAGCTACCCAAATCTTCAGTAAAAACCACCCTGATTAACCAGAAGTCAATAACATCAAGGCAAGACCTTCCACCAGGAAAAAGATTGTGACCTGCTGAAGATTTAAATTACCTTGGGATTTTTAAACAATAAAGTCTTTTAAATAAAAGTATGTGCATTTTTACACAAAATACTATTGCACACTTAATAGACTGCAGTATAGTATAAAAATAACTTATATATGCACTGAAAAACTGAAAAAAAAAAACCTGACCGACTTTATTGCAATATTCACTTTATTATGGTAGTCTGGAACCAAATCCACAGTATTTCCAAGGTATGCCTGTATCCATACTAGTTAGACAGGATTGTTAAAGCTAAATTAATACTCATTAAGATGAAAATTCAGTTTTCTTAAATATTATCCTACTCTGAAGTGTAAGAAATATTTCTAGGAAGAAACATGTTTGAAGTAGAAGACACTAAATATTAAAAAAAAAAGATATGATATGCATGGAATCCATCAAATTTGAAAGGATTCTTTAAATTATTTCCTTACCTTTGCAGAAGACACAAAGCACCACAACCAAGTACGAAAAGACCAACTTCATGGTTGTGATTCGGGACCTAGAAACAGAGGTTAGTCATCCTGGAGAATCAGATCCACAAGAGCCCGTCTAACCTGGGTTTTTATGCTCCCTATACCACTGTCTCTCGTCATGAGCTAAGTGTGGTAATCTTGGTGATGATAGAGAAAAGGTAAATATCATAGCACGACAAAGATGAAATCCATCTCAAGTCAGTGAAGTGTCTTATATCTGTGACATATTCTATCTTGGACCAAGACCAGCTCACATCAATCCCAGAATATGCCTTCTTGCCGCCCTCTGCAAACAGCAAAGCCAGGAACTAAAAGCCTCGGGATTTAAAAAACCAAATAAACTGAGAATACACATTTATCTGTCCCCTATTAATCATTGCAGAAGTCTTAATACCTCAAGAAACTCAAATACTGTGATCAAATATTATAATTGTCTCTCCCTTAACAAAAAAAAATGTATTTTAAGGTTGAACCTACACTGAAACAAAGAAATCTTTACTTATCAATATGTTAATAGGCATTTTCTTAGAGAAATATGTAAGTATCACATAGTTATAGACACACCAAGACACATAAATGCATTATAGCTTTATTATTCATAAGGATATACTTATTGACATACATTTTTGCTTTATAATTAGACATATAAATAAGGAGAAAATATATAACAATGAGAACATCAGAAAAAGAATGTTTTATGACAAAATAAATTTAAATAGAGAACGTCATTTATGAATTACATATCCAGATATTCTGGGTGGAGTGAGAAGTTCAAGTTAGGATCTCGGAAGAGAAGATCTAGTCTATACTGAACTGGGTAGACAGGACTGACAATTGGAAGAATCTCTGGTGCCAGTCAGGTAAACTCGGAAAATGGAAGGACCAACTTTACAGCTTTAATGATGCCATCTGCTTCTCACCTGCTCCAAATCGCTATCAAGAAAAGACTTCAGTAGCTAAAGTGAAAACAGCCCTTAGTGTATTCTCCCCAGAAATCAGATGAATCTCAGGACAGGAGGAAAAGATATTGACCAACATCTCTTTCCTTCCCTTTATCCACTCCTCATTTCTCAACTAACTTAAATGAAATAAATGATGGCTACCCTTTCAGAGGGTCTCACCAATGCATCCCAAATGCTTTTACACATGATCCTTGCCCTACCAAATCTGCTCAGTCTATTTGTTGAGTTATCAAATTATTTTGAAAGAGGACTAAATTTACCAGATTTAAATATTTTGATTGCATTTGCCTATTTAAGGTAGTGCATTTACTGAAGGCATGTGATTTTAAATCTGACACGTAGGTACCAGAGTTTTTACTGTGGGGCAGGGATTTGGAGTTGGTTAAATAACAGGTACATGAGTGTGGGAGAAGAAGGCTCATTCCAAAAACAGAGAAGGGGGTAAATAAAGCTTGTAAAGACTAAAGACTAACTTCACTGAATGTAATTTTTCCAAAATCCAGCCCTCATTGTTTCACTAATTCACAAGTGAATCAAGACTTTATGTTGAGTTTTCTCCAACACAGTACAGTATAGTTCATGGGGAACATTGCCCTTTGAGATATATGGCTGACATTAATAATGCCATTTATGATGTCCTATATTCTACATGACTTCGTTGTAAAGAAGATTTGATCTTAGGAAGCCCATTTTTCAGATATTCATTGTGACATAATTACTCTGCTGTATGCTTAACAGTAGGCCTACATATGTATGAGACTAGAAAGAAACATAAAATTATTAGGGACTGTTGGACAACTAAGGATATATGCACATACAATATTTTAATAAACAAGGTTGAAGTGAAATGCATAGCCTTCCACTTCACTCAAAATAAAGCCAATAACATTTATAGGGCCTATAAGGCCCTGTTCCACCAGCCCCCAACTGTCTAACTTCATCTCCTTCCTACCTGCCCTTACTTTTTCCTCTCAAGCCTCAAAGGCCTCCTTACTGTCAGGGGGGCCCACCAGGCACAATCTCACATCAGAATTACTCTTAAGTCTCACCTTAGAGTTGCTGGTTTTGCTCCTTCAGGTTTTAATTACATATTTTGCAAATAGCTAGACTCCACTCCTACAAGCTGTTGTTTTTCCTCCAAAACAAAAATTTTGAGTTATAGTTAGAGTATAACTTTACTGTATTTATTTATTTATTTTTTTGAGTTGGAGTCTCACTCTGTCGCCCAGACTGGAGTGCAGTGGCCGCTCCCGGCCACCGAAGCCTCGACCTGTTGGGCGCCGGCGATCCTTCTGCCTCAGCCTTCCGAGTAGCTGTAACTACAGGCGCGCGCTACCACGCCCGGCTAATTTTTTGATTTATTGTAGAGACGAGGTCTCACCAAGTTGCCCAGGCGTGTCTTGAACTTGCGGGCTCAGGCAATCCACTCGCCTCAGCCTCCCAAAGGCGCAGGATTACAGGTTGAGCCACCAAACCCGGCTCAGAGTATAACTTTAATGAGGTAAAGTTTCCCTACATGTAAAGGATTTAAAATCTAGATAATTTGCATATATTTTAAACAGATGTCCAAAAACATGGATTGATAGCATAAGTCTTTGGTACTATTAATGTCTTATACCAAATTCTAAAATAAATAAAAAGTTTTTAAATTTCTTTCAAATCTTTTTATTTTTTTCAAGCTAATTCCTCCAAATATTGGTCCCTCAAGTCATTTAGGTCTCTGCTCAAATACTAACTTTACATGGAGACCTTCTCTAAATACCTAACTTTTAAATTACAAAGATCACCTCATACCACTACCTTTCCTATACCAATTTTCTGCTTCATTTTTCTCCATGGTATTCAGCACCATCTGACGTACACATTTTAATTTGATATATTTAGTGCATTTAATTATTGTATGTGTCTAATACTGTACTAGAATGTAAATTCATTTAGGGTGAGGATCTCTGTGTTTTCTTCACTGCTAAGTCTCACTGCCTAAAAAATAGCCTGGCACATACTAAGTGTTTAATAAATATTGAATGAATGATCTAGAGAGTAATTTTGTGGGGCTCAAAAATAGGTTACATTAAATAATAATGACAATAATAATAGTCATAAATAGTGCTTATTATCACGGTTATTTACATTAAGAGATATAATTCATTATAATACAACATGCATTGACCTCATGCTATACTAAAACTGAGAAAACAAGATGAATAAGAAAAGGGTCCCATCATGAAACTTCTATCCACTTATTCCTCAATGAATTATTAATAAGGGCAAATGTTATACCAGTGGTGTTAACAGTCTGTTATTTCACCAGTTCAAAGTTGCCTACCAGTGAAAAATAATCATAGTGCATAGATGTTTCCTAGAACTTTTTCACTGTCGGTAATCATAGATAAAATTTGGTTTATAGTCGAGTTAAAAGTCAAGATAGCAATAATATGCCTGTATACTATATTTATACATGTTGCCTTTCTATGAGTTATTTTTATTTTCATGAAGAGTCTGATAATTCGACAATTATACATGAAAGCTTTTTTCCCTTCTCATATATCAAAATACCTAGATTGATACCATTTTAAGAGAAAATATATATAATATGAATTAATACTATAAATTTAGCATATGTTAAATATAAAATGATTTATTTTCTAGAAAGTAGACTTGCTTTTCTCTGGAACTTCTTAGGTAGCTTGTTTTTACACAGACCTTAAGCACTTTAACTCTTTTGTAATGATATATAAATTGGATAGAACTATTTAATAATATGAAAACATATACTGCATAACTAGTGTACATAGCTTAAGAGCATATCCATCAAAAAGAACAATAGTCAAATGTTCTTTTGATTTAAAAGGATGTGGCTTAAGTGTCTGTACACTTGATACAATGTCACAGAAAAGGTCAGCTGTGGAAAGAACAATAGCATCAGTTTGGGCAAGATAGTTTGTTTCTATGAAATGTTTGTACTAGAAGGAAATGCAGAAAATGTTAAGCAATATGTGCTTGGATCCAGAACAAGAAGTTCCTCATTTCGTATATATTGTGATCAGAAATTATATTTGAAAGTTGAGTGTCTGAAAATTTTAAAATGTTTATTATGTGGAAGGTTTCATTCCAAGAGAAATAAAAATACAATTAACTTTTTAAAGAAATATTTAAATGATATAATTACTTAAAAGAAATATTATTCAGCATTAGATACAGATAATAATTTACCAGTAGCTTACCAACTCAAATTTAACTTCAAAATATTTTTCTAAAGTACTATTTAATATGCAGAAGAAATTCACACTGTTAGAATGGACATTCGGAGATTTTATAAGAGCATAAACAAGAAACATTATCATGGATTCTGAGCAAAATATTATAGAGGCATTGATACTTACAGCTGTCATATCAGCTTTTCTGAATAAAATTTTAAGAGGAATTTGAACATTGACCATCTCCTGATAAATAAATGTTTAGTAAACCATATCCCTGTAGAAAGCTCTATATCTATGTTTTCTCTCTGCATTTTCAGCATTGAAATCATTTCCTGTGCTCAATATGAAGCCATATTTTAAAAGTCACTCTATCATTTGTCCTGCACAATTACCTCCAAAGTTATTATATCAGCTCCTTCTTTCTAACTTTCCTCTTGTACTTCTTAATATTCATTACTGTCTTTTTATTCTCATCATAACCTCTTCATTAACATATTCCTTTATCCTCTTCAATCAACTGCAATGGTCACCACATCATTAAATTCATTTGCTTTACAGAGTCCAGAAAACTCATTGAGTGTTAGGTTGCCCCCTCTGCCCCCAATACTAATCATCTCCTTTAAACTCTCTTCTCAGTCTCTGTTTTCTTCTATCTCTTCTGAATATTTTCCAGGGCTCTCTTTTCTCAAGGTGCCCTATACATTGGACAGATTATACTGTCCCAGGCTCTAAATGATAGTTATGGGTAAGATTTCCATATAGATGGGAAAAATACATATGTTGGAGTCATAATCCCCAGAACCTCAGAATGCAACCCTGTTTGAAAATAGGTCTTTAAAGAAGCAATT